TTGAACCTTTAAAACACATTTTTTAAATTTTTTATCATTCATAAACCTTCCCTGTGGTCACGTGATGTCCCACAAAAAATTTGGGCCCGATCGGTTCAGCCATTTTGACGTTTATTGGATACAAACAAACAGACAGACACCCAGACAGACAAGCCAAATTTATATATAGATAGTATAAGTTTGAAATATCAAAGATGTACAATATCATCAGGTTGCATAGATTTAGGGATTTGAAAATCAAACTTTGTGGCAAGTGTTCAGTTTCTTACCATGTTCAACTCCGTAGAGTTCCCAACAGTTTGACCCCATCTGACATCCAGCCTGCCCAACATGGATACTAAAATAATACATTTTTTATCAATAACCGCAAATTGTAAATTTATAAAGTAAGAATATGACATGACAGGTTTTCTGAAAATTACACATTTTTAAAACTCAGTTATATATTCTGATTGTTAACATTAAAAGTGAAAGATCAAAACGAACAAAGTTAATGATGGTTGATCATTGACAATGGCCAATTGTTAAGGAATATTGCGGGGCACCTCACAATTCTGTAGGATTACTGTATATTAAATATCAACAAAAAATAGTGATTGTAATAAATTCTGTATGTTATAGTAATTCTTTTATATTTTGAATTGTTATGTTCATGCTGCTTCTTTGTTTATGAAAAACAAATTACATATTTATAGAAAATGAATATTTTAAAAATAATTTATCTTTGCCAAAATGTGCGAAATTTATCATCAAAACCAACTAGAAAATTTTGTACAGAGAGTGGTTATTTTACCCTAGGGAGGTTAAGTAAAATAACCACCCTCAAGGTTTACTAAAAATTAGATAATGGGGAGAATCATAAGCTGGTAAGTTTCCTTAAAAAATGCAGTAAAATGCTGAAGGGAATCGTTTTGAGGTCCGTTAAAAAACATTCAAGGTTTTTTACTGTTAAATTGATGGTTTGCTTTTATTACATTACGCAAAATGTTTACCTTAAATCTTACCAAAGCGATTTTTCTAAACGGTTGATAAAATTATTTCGGTTGGTCAGAGAAATTATTTTTGCATAATGTAAGAAATAAAAAAACTTTAAAAAATTATATTTTACTATAGTCTTTTATTGCATGCCTTTAAATTAAAAAAAAAACCTTAATATTAAAAAACGGACTTCAAAACCTTGGATATTTAAAAACGGACTTCAAAACCTTGAATATTTAAAAACTGACCTCAAAACCTTGGATATTTAAAAACCGAACTTCAAAACCCTGGATATTTAAAAGACGGACCTTAAAACCTTGGATATTTAAAAGACGGACCTCAAAACCTTGGATATTCAAAAAACGGACTTTAAAACCTTGGATATTTAAAAACGGACCTTAAAATCATGGATATTTTAAAAAACAGACTTTAAACCCCTGGATATTTAAAAACTGACCTCAAAACCTTAGATATTTAAAAAACGGACCTTAAAACCCTGGATATTTAAAAAACAGATCTCAAAACCCTGGATATTTAAAAAACGGACTTCAATACCTTGGATATTTAAAAAACGGATCTTAAAACCCTGTGTCCGAATTTAATGAATTTAAGCCGCGTCTCAAATCCACCAAAAACCAGTTTAAAGCATCTTGAAAAATTGAATACAATTTTATGTGGTTAGGATTACTGTATATTAAATATCAACAAAAAATAGTGATTGTAATAAATTCTGTATGTTATAGTAATTCTTTTATATTTTGAATTGTTATGTTCTTGCTGCTTCTTTGTTTATGAAAAACAAATTACATATTTATAGAAAATGAATTTTCTAAAAATAATTTAAAACCTTGGATATTTAAAAAAAACAGACCTCAAAACTTTGGATATTTAAATGCCAGTATTTAGTTATATAAATATATTACCTAATACATTCCCTGGACATGATTAAATTGGATATTTACAGGCAGCTCACCAAGTCAAATTATTCTAAAGTTAATTTCATTTTTATCTTTATAAATACTTTGCTGGTGTGTCTGTTTATTTTATTTGTATCTAATTAACGTCAAAACGACTGAACCGATCGGATCTAAATTTTTCACAATTGAAATAAAAGATGGGTGTAAAACGCCCTGAAAGATTAGTTTAGATTGAAAACAAATATTCTAGAAATATCCTAAATATTCTAGAAATATCCTAAATATTCTAGAAATATCCTAAATATTCTAGAAATATCCTAAATGTTTGGAAGAAAATTGAAAATTTATAGCACGGTGCTATAATATACAGCTGGCACGATGCTATAATATACAGTAAATTTAACTTTATGCCCTGGGTGGCCTCTTTTTAATCTATGGTGAATATATCCTGAAACCCATGTATTCCCAGCTGAGCTGAGTACACCTTTCAATATTTGCGAATTTTTTGCTATGAAGTTCCCGCATTCTTTTGAATGATCATCTTCCAGCATTAATATTATTATGTACTTTTTAAAAATTTATATTACATGTTATATCATTTTTGTTTATTTATTTATTTTGATAGTGTTAACACTTAAATTCATATTTACTTTTTATACTTTTATACTTTTTATATTTACTTTACTCGACTTTTTTGGATGAGATTTTTAACCCTCGCTACGCTCTGGTTAAAAATCTCATCAAAAAAGTCTCGAACCCTCTCGAAAAAGAAAAGTTTTGGCTCAAATACTTTATACCTCGCCTCCCTTCAACAAGTACGGTTATAAATAGTTAATTATAGCACGATCATTACTTTACAGCACGTCAACAATAAAATTCACCATAAATAATAAAGTACACAATAATTTCATCAAATTAACTTTAACACTTACACTACTATTTTGTCACTACGTGTTATACAGTCTTTGACAGAAATTTTCTCTGTCATGTATCTTAAAGGTTCTCGCTTTTTAAAATTATATTTCTTCCTTCTCAATAAAGAGAAAATTTCTGTCAAAAAAACTTTACAGCACTGCTAACCAAAAGTATAGTGTTTTAAGTGGTTATAACAGAATTGTGATATTTATTTCCTATTTCCTACTTGTAAAACACCTTCGTGATCTTATTTTCAGCCTTTGATACAGCTAAAAACACAGATTTGACCAAATCTAGGGTTCCAGTAGTTTAGAGATATTTTATCTAACTATATATACTAGGCTTTTAGGGCGCTTCGCGCCCATCTTCTATTTAAATTGTGAACAAGTTCTTTTTGTTTACATTTTAATTTAAAGAAAAAAATTTTGCGGATTCTTACAAAAAAAATTCGTGTATTTTCAAGAGTTTTTTTTTCCTAAATTAAAACCTTTAATACACATTTTTTTTTATCATTCATAAACCTTTCCTGTGGTCACGTGATGTCCCACAAAAAATTTGGGCCCGATAGGTTCAGCCGTTTATTGAATACAAACAAACAAACAGACACCCAGACAGACAAGCTAAGTTTATATATAGATGTTAGGTACTTTCTGGAATGCATTTTCCCAAGGGCGACTTCATAAGTGACAATTTTCCAAGCGGCAACTTCCCAAAGATTAGGTTAGGTCCTCTAAGGCGCCGAAGGCTGCAATGGGGGCCGAGCTCCGCGGCTTGAACAGGCTGAGGGGCCGAGCACTGCGGCTAAAACAGACTTGGGAAGTTGCCGCTTGGGAAATTGCACAATTAGGAATTGCCAATTGGGAAAATACCCTTAGGAAGTCAGCCTAAAAGCATAGTAAAATACATTAGTATAATTTAGAGTGTTGGAGTTGACCCCTTTTTAAAATAATTTTTATTCAACTTGGACATTTTCTCTAAAAGTTTAAAATTTACATTTTTACAATCAGAGCTGAAAACTTTAGAATGGTGGATATCAGGATTAATGCTTAATCCACTCTTTTTCTTAATATCCAGATTAAATATGGCTTGTTTTCCTCATGAATTTAATCTCAAGATAAGTCAACAGATCCGGATTAAGGATATCCCATTCTAAAGTTTTCAGCTCTGAGCTGAAAACTTTAGAATGAAATATCCAGATATCCCGTCGAATAATTAATCTGAAGTTTAAAATCATGCAGAGTTACTGCAATATTTAATCTCGAAATTTATGACATTAGCCCTTTTATGATATCCACCATTCTAAAGTTTTCAGCTCTGTTCACACAAAAAATGGCCTAAGATTATAACAGATTTTAAGCTCATAAGTTTATAAATAAAAACTGTAATTTTATAAAACTAAGCATTCAGGGCGCTTAGCGCCCATCTTCGATTTCAATTGTGAACATTTTCTCTTCGTATAAATTGTAAAAAAACAGTTTGCGATATTATAAAAAAATGTCGTGGATTTTTAAATTTAATGAAAATCCAATTTTGTTGGAGGCTATTTTTGGAAATTTTGGTCATCAAACACCTTTAATGGGGTCCCACAAAATATGTGGGCCAGATTACAAACAAACAGACAAACAAAGTATAGATATGTACACATTTTGTTTAAACTTTTAATTTTTAATAATGATTTATGAACCTGTTTTTTTTCACTTGATCTTTACAAAAAAAAACGCTGAACAAGAAGATTCAATTTGAGAATACGAATTCAATTTATTTCTCTAGATAGTAGATATTTAATGTAAATTCACTCTTCATCAAAATTTGAAACAAATTCCGTAGACAGGCTTTGATTTACTTATTATCAAAACATTTTACAATTTTGATATCAGCTACTCGTTTCCTTTAATTCGTAATCTATAGATACAGGGTTATTCACACAGAATAAGACTGTAAAGACGGCTAGAAACTAATAAGATATGACGTTAATAAGGGTTAAGTCTTCTGGTCTTGAATCGTTTCGTTCGCTTGAAAACCTACTCCAGAAGCAGTAAGCAGCTGACAGTTATATCATATTTGTTAATTAGTTTATTGTATAGTGTACGCACAACTTTACTTTAAAGAATGGTGTGGAAAATGTATCTCAAAATTTACCCTGATTGTGCAATCTGCTTTATTTCATAAATGTATAAAATGTTGTCAATGTCTGATGTCCGGAAGTGGGTGAACAATAGAGATTTTGTTTGAAATAGTTAGTATTTAAAGTTTAGAGGATTAATAAGCAAATTTTAATATCCTTTTAAAGAAAGCTGTTTAAACAATACCTTTTACACTCTATAGATCTTAACATTATGTGAGACAATTTTAACGATATGATAATGAACGGCAATAACCGTTAATACAGAAACAATTGTGATTGTCGACAACTTAGTTTTAAAACCGTTTAATATTCAATAAATCCAATTTTTACTTCCTATCTGAATATATTACAGGGGATATTAGTTCCAAAACTAACACTTCTCATATATTTCATATTTACGTTGCACAATTGCTATGTCTCATGTTCAATGCGCTATTATAACTTGAGTTTAAAAGTCGACTTCCTATTCCAGAGTTTTCTGGTTATCACTATATAAATGCGGGAAACGGTTTGTTTAAAATGCTTGTAAATAAATTATCCATATTCTCTAATTTAACAGATAAAATGTGAAAACTTAGATTCTAGAAATAATTCAGAAGTTAATGTAGCCTTCATAAGATAATTTTTGTTTTCAGTGATTTATTCTGGAAGTTATGAAAGTGAGTTTTGTTATGAATAGTGGATATATACTCAAAACGGGAAAATGGGTTTTGTCTCGAAAACGCGACAATGTTTCAAATTCAGGATATGTTCGAAAATGGAAAACCTGACATTGTCTTGAAAACGGTCAAGAGATTTAATATAAAAAAACTCATTTTATAATTTTGATTTAAAAAAAAGTTTACAATTGGGAATTGTTGTCCTCGTCATGTTTAATACATATTGGTTATAGTTTTTATAATCGACTTTTACTCTGGATATGGGCCGGGATCCCAAAAACCCAGTCTTTCAATTTGTGCCCATTTCTAACACTCAGTGTTAGATTTGAAACTAATGCATTAGATTATGAAGTAATCTCTGTCTTCCTGGGTGTCCGATCATAACTCAAGAACCCCTTGAAGATTTGTCTCAAATGATCGAGGAACAAAACCACTGGAAAATTTCGATTCTTTAAATGTTTGGTTTAATGGATCGACGTTTAGAGAAAACTTAGTTTCTAGGCAACGCAGGGTTCCAAAGCTAGCATTCAAATAAGAAAGAATATTATAATATGGATGAATATTAAAATAAGGATGAAAATTGAAATAAGGATTTATATTTTTGTGAAATACACTTGTAACGCCGGGCAATTCGATCAGCTAATATCATGATTTCATGCCAAGCGCGGGTAAACGGCAGGCAACTGTGACAATGAATATTAATACAAGCCTTGGCAATGCCACACACTCGGCTAGTATGAGATAAGAATCTATTTATGATTTAAGTTCACGATATAATTTATTCTTAAAAAATATATATTACCGTTTAAACAAATTTAAAGTAATCTTAATCTTAAGTCTTGATTTCTTACAGCAATATCAAAAAGATTCAAAACTAATATTGTAGAAAACGACTGTAGTACATACACTCATTCAAATTTTTCAGTTCACATTTATATCCAGAGTTTGATGAATCAGGTCGAAGCAAGATAGATCGATTCATCCAACCTCATTCCTCTAAAGTTAAAAACGAATTAAAAATATATCGGGAACAAATCTAAAATTTCGTAAAAAAAAAGTCAGCTCTCATAATCTTAGGAAACGAAGCAATTCCGTTACTATCTAATTAATGGATTATAAAGCGGTGGTTCCAGTAGATTAGTCTGAATTGAGTTACGTTAAAACGTCCTGATGATTGTGCTACATTTGCCGGCCAAGGGATATTCCAGCCGGCCACCCTAACCTCGACCCTATAAAGGATGTCTTCGGCCATTATTAAATACGGCGGCCGGGAATAAACATGTTTCTTATAACCCCTCACGGAGTGTTAATCCGTCCCCCTGCTAGAGGGTTAAGTTGACCCTTCTCTCAGACCTTCCCAAGAGCGCTCTGACCTACGCACGCGCAGGTGATAAGCGCTCCTAGATCAGGTTTACCGGAACAACTCGCTTTATATCATCAAATAGGTTCACGGACGCTTATAGCTCTATTAGTTGTCATCATAATAAGCATTAGGCCCTTAAAAAAGGCATTTTTTCTCCTTAGTTTTTTATTTGATTTATTTTTATATTCAATTGAACAAACAGGACAAATGGTGAGACTTCGGAGACGACTGTAAGCAATTCATTTAGTCTTTTTTCTCCTTCATGGTTCCTTTTATACCACTTTTTTGTTTACTTTCAAATGATTATGTCTTCAAATCGACAAACTATTATTTTTAGGTTGTAATTAAAGTCAGATCCCTAGTAAACTGGGTAAGCCTGTATTCAAAAGCATATTTAATGGTTATACCTTTGTACAGTGAATTTCAAAAATAATTATTTTTTAACTTTTATCAGTCCTAATTCTTATAAATTAACAATATTTGAAATTTCTTTAGTGTCATAAAAAAAATTTCTTGATGGTAAATATCATTTAAGAATTTAAAGGTAGACATTGTATGCCGCGTGATTTAAAGACGACTAATTGATTATAAATATTCGAAATTTACCTGGTTCAGCCTCCAAGAATATTCCACTCTTTGCGCCACTGGGCCGAGGTCACTTCATCATGATATCCTGCAACAAGCTGCGGTATATCATATCCTTCAAGAAGCTCAGGTATGTCATCATCATCATCAACAAGCTTATCATACGCATTTCCGGCCGGTTCCGCCGCGTTGTCGGCCTGTTCTCTTGCATTAACCATCATGGCATAGGATCTCTTGGATTGGATCAAAACTTCGATATATCGGCTCAATTCATCTCCATCTCCAGCTGATTCATCTCCATTTCCTGTGCTTTTGTCAGTATCAGCCATAATTCCCAAACTAATCTCCTCTGCAATAAAATAAATGTTTTTATTCGTGAAAGTCATGGTCAACCAAACAAACGAAATTAAAGCTGTCTTTACATTGAGTTTAAATTAGGTTTTAATTAAGTTAAATTAGGTTAAATTAGGTTTAAATTAGATTTAAATTAGGTTTAAATAATTAATAAATTGGGGTTAACTAAGGTTTAAATTAGGTTTAAATTAGGTTAAAATAGGATAATAAATAAGGGTTAAATTTGGTTAAAATTAGGTTTAAATTAGTTTAAATTAGGTTATGGTTAATTAAGGCTCATTCGGTCTGAAATTTGAGAACTTCCGTTGGCACCGCAAGATCCGAAAAAATATGCGAATCCACGGAATCGGACCAAGGGTGAAAAAATTAACCAAAAACTGCCAAAAAAAACACTAACTCTCAAAACCCAAATCTGAACTAATGAAAAAGAGATTGTAATAAAACTTTCTTGATTTCTGAAAGGTTTATAAAGTTATAACATGAAAATAAGCGAAAAAATAGACGAGAAATTCGTTGAAATTTTTTTGTTTGTTAAAAAAATCCATTTTTTCCCAGTGCGGACTCAGGATCCACAATTGTATCAAAATTAAATGGATCCAAAGCACTGGTTAAGACATAAATATTTTTAACACTGTATTTCCGTCGTCTAATGCAGACATTCTCATAGGTATTTTAACGTACTGTCAGTGTAAGTTTTAAAATTGAACTATTCCTTCCTTCATCATCGGTCCGTAGACGGGATATTACTTTACATTTACTTATCAGATCTTTTTTGAATAAAGAAACTGATAAGTTACGTTACGAAGAAAAGATAAAAGGTTGCCTCAGCTTTTTAATACTTGTTATTATACCCAAGAAGAACATCCTAGGTTGTGATTAAAACCGTGCGAAAAATAGGATACATCGCAATTGAACTGTAATGTTAATCTTGATAAAAATAAAAGGGAAAAGACGGAAAGATATACAAACTTTCTTATCGCCTACTAATGCACCTGAGGATGAAATAACTCATCAAATTATTGCCCAAGAACATAAGAAAGCATTTATTTTAAAGACATTTTAAAATCATGCCTCTCCTCCGCGAATTTCATTAATCGAATAAAAATAAATTCTCAAGGATAGGTCTACTTTTGGACAGCGGAAATACGATGCTATCTCCTTTGAACTACTCCCGTTTTAACTATTGTTCATTTGAACTATTGTTCGTTTGAACTACTGCACGTGGTACCACATGAGTAGTTGAAATGAACAATAGTTCAAGCGAGTAAAGATATTGCTCATTTGAACTATTTTTCAGTTCATTTGAAGTTTATTCATTTGAACTATTGATATTATAAATGAAACATGCACAAGAAAATAGTTTAAGTGAACATTAAAATAGTTCAAATGGGCATAAAATTTGTTCAAATGGACATAAAAATAGTTCAAATGAACTTAAAAATAGTTCAAATTAACAAAAAAATAGTTCAAATGGACATAAAAATAGTTCAAATGAACTTAAAAATAGTTCAAATTAACAAAAAAATAGTTCAAATGGACATAAAAATAGTTCAAATGGACAAAAAAATAGTTCAAAAAGACGTAAAAATAGTTTAAATGAACAAAAAAAAAGTTTAAATGAACAAAAAATAGTTCAAATGGACAAAAAGAATAGTTGAAATGAGCAAAAAAAATAGTTACAATGAACAAAAAAGTAGTTAAAATAGACATAAAAATAGTTCAAACAGACAAAAAAATAGTTCAAATGGACATAGAAATAGTTCAAATGGACATAAAAATAGTTCAAATGGACATAGAAATAGTTAAAATGGACATAAAAATAGTTAAAATGGACATAAAAATAGTTAAAATGGACATAAAAATAGTTCAAATGGACAAAAAAAAAGTTCAAATGAACAAAAAAATAGTTCAAATGGACATAAAAATAGTTCAAATGGAAAAAAAAATAGTTAAAATGAACAAAAAAATAGTTCAAAAAGACGTGAAAATAGTTTAAATGAACAAAAAAAAAGTTTAAATGAACAAAAAATAGTTAAAATGGACAAAAAGAATAGTTGAAATGAGCAAAAAAATAGTTACAATGAACAAAAAAGTAGTTAAAATGGCCATAAAAATAGTTCAAACAGACAAAAAAATAGTTCAAATGGACATAGAAATAGTTAAAATGGACATAAAAATAGTTAAAATGGACATAGAAATAGTTAAAATGGACATAAAAATGGTTAAAATGGACATAAAAATAGTTCAAATGGACAAAAAAAAAGTTCAAATGAATAAAAAAATAGTTCAAATGGATATAAAAATAGTTCAAATGGAAAAAAAAATAGTTCAAATGAACAAAAAAATAGTTCAAAAAGACGTAAAAATAGTTTAAATGAACAAAAAAAAGTTTGAATGAACAAAAAATAGTTCAAATGGACAAAAAGAATAGTTGAAATGAGCAAAAAAATAGTTACAATGAACAAAAAAGTAGTTAAAATGGACATAAAAATAGTTCAAATGAGCAAATAAATTATTTTTAGACTCTGTAAGGTTACTAGCTATTTATATGTTTAACTATTTCATTTGAAATTTTTTTTGTTTAGATTTCATTTGAACTATTTTTTTCTCATTTTAACTATATTTTTTTTATTTTAACTATTTAATTTGAACCATTTTCATGGTCATTTAATTATTTTTTGGTCATTTTAACTAATTTTTTTGTTCATTTTAACTATTTTTTGTCATTTTTTCATTTGAAACATTTCTTTCACATTAAACTATTTTTTTTCGTTTGAACTTGTTTTTTTTTTCATTTGAACTGTTATTAAGTTCAGTTGAACTTTTTTTTCATTTATGCTATTTTTTATGTTCATTTGAACTATTTTTTTGTTAATTTAATCTATTTTCATGTTCATTTGAAAAATTTCTGTGTAATTGTTATCTAATTAATTGTCATGAACTAACTTTATGAGAACTATGAAAAAATTAAAAACTGAATTGGTATAAAATTAGTTCAAATGAGCAAGTATTGTGTTGATTTGAACTACAGGATATGACGTCATGTCAGTAGTTCAAATAAACAATAGTTTAAGTGAACAATAGTTCAAACGAACAATAGTTCAAATGAGAATCCACCCGGAAATACAGTGTAAACAGACGAAAAAAGGAACTAATGGAAGTGGATCTTTAAAGAATATGGGAAGTTTCCTTCAACTAGATTTGTTAGAGAACAATTTAACTGAACAAATTTTTTTCTGAAATTGATTTAAGAACGAATTTAACAAACAAATATTATCAATGCCCAAAAATAAACAAATTTCCATCCTTTAACTTAGTTTGCACCATTAACTTAATATTCATGAACAAATTTATTCGATAAAGTTCTTAAATTTCATATTCCAAAATGAGTCTTATGAAGTCGTATTTTGACCAATTTCTTTCGCTTCCATTAGTCTTTTTACAAAATAGTAATAAACACCGGTTTGCGTCAACTTAGTTTAATATTGACTTCAAAAACACTAAAAACAGAGTTAATAACCAAACCAATAACCTCCCTATTGAGCAGATTTGAAATTAATGTAGCTTACCAAATAAGATTGAAGCGATATCTCTGAATTTCAACAATATAACGCATCTTGAGTCTTTTTATGTTTATACAATACTTGTATTAATGCATATTGCGTATACCTGTCTTCCTACCTAATGCAGTTATGAAAGCGAATTCTGTTCTGCTCTCATTTTAACTTGAATTAATCTGAATATTTAAATACAAATCTATTTCCATTAATAGAGAAAAGAATAAGAGAAAGTTTAATGAGAGTTTAATATTAAGCAATGTTAAAGAATAAAAACTTGCAAGATCATAGCCTTCAAAGTTAAGTATTTATGCGACGCTATTAAAGTGTTCCAGAAAGACGAACAACCATGACCAGTTAAGAAAAAAATATAAGATACATAAATGGTTTTATTTTTAAAAGCTTCACAGGTACTTTGTCCAATTAATAAGATAAAATCGTAATTCATAAAACATCTAATTCTTGGTTTTCTTCGGACTGGCAGAGTCACCGTTTTCCGCCTTGCGCTTTACCGAGATGGCAGAGATGGGCTTAGGCGAGGCAGAGGATCCGACGGCGGATATAGAGCCAAACCCAACCTCTTCAGTGTCCTGCTTGGCAGCCTGTTCCTTCATGTCCTTGGTGTCTTGAATCTTTTCCCGGATTTCGGGGATCAAGGATTCAAGTTCGGAGATTTCGGACTCGCGGGTGTAGAACGCATCGTCGGCCCGGGATTCGTCCTTAGATTCAGTTTTGTTCTTCAAGTTCTCCATCCTAGAATTGGAAAGTTTAAATTTGTAGGCAAGAGACAAACTTATAAGTTGCTATTTAAACAAGTTTGTTTTTATAAAACACTCAACTATGATTCTTAAACTCCAGACGTCTGTCAAGAGCTGTTGACGATAAATACTGAATTAATCCGTTTAAGGGACATATCTATTACAGGTCATTAAATCAAAACAATAAGTTGGTTAACTGCAAGATATTTAAAGCTACACTGATTATTTGCAAAATAAACTAGGAAGAAACCTCAATCTGACATTGACATCTTACTTTCTGTTACTCAGTTCAATATATAGGAGTACCGTTGTAAATCGGAGGATAATTTAACATCATGCAAAATATTAACCTGAGCTGGATGATCTTGATGGCATCCTCCAGAGCTTCAACAGCCTCGTCAAACTTCTCAAAGTGTCCAAGTGCAACACCAAGATGATAATTTGTCTCCGCAATCCGCCTAGAATCTCCAGCATGAAGAACCTAAATATGAAAATTCAAAAATTCAAAGTTTTCCAAAAATCAAGAAAAAAAGTCTCAGTTATTAATTTTGATTATTTTGCAGTGTTTGCTATTTTTCTTGCCAGCAATAATCAGAATACCAGAGCTTTAGGAAAAATCCTTTTAAGCTTAGAACCAGTTTTACATTTTTGGAGAAGAAGTTTGACAGAATGAAAATTTGCCTTATGTTAAATGCAACCTTTTACCAGTTTTACATTAGGCAAGTGCTCATTCCGTCATACTTCTTACTCCAATTCAGCGATTAAAACCCTATAAAATTGATACAGCCAACCTTTTTTTGTAGTAATTAAGTTAAAGACGTACCTTACGCTTAGCTAGACAATCAGCAATATCAGCCACAGCCTGTTCATAATTCTCACTCTCCAAGCTAACCTCTCCAAGCAGGAGAAGGGTCTCACAGATCTTGGTCTCGATCACCTTCTTCTCGTCCTCCTTAGCCTCTGCCAACTTGTTGTTGTAGGCAACCTTAGCGAGCTCAAGCATCTCCCAGGAGAGCTGGAGGTTGCTTGGATCCTCTTCATCCTCAGCCTCCTAAATAAAACATCAATTATAGGGATAATCGACGCAATTTCAAGTTCAAAGCGGTATCATTTAGCATTTCCAGATAGGGATTAATCACTTGTGCACGAAGGGTTTGAAGGGTACCATTGTGAATTAAACAAGTATAAAATAATAGTTCATAGTAAAAAATAAGAATTACTTTTTTTTCAAACCTACAAAAAAATTCAGATTCCTACAAGTAAGTGAATGATAAACTCCCTTAAAGGGAGTGTTCGCGAAAAATGTAAGGGGGTATAGGCTTAATGCGATAAAAAAGCGCTTTTGATCGCTACTAATCTTACTTCTATCTGTTGCGTCTATAAGGAGAAAATTGATAAAGACGCCTCATACCGAAGAGCGTAGTGCCCAAACAAATTGAGGAAGTTGGAACATACGACTTAGACCGTAAAAAAATCAAATTAATATCAAACAAATCATTCAGCTATTACAACCTATGGTCATCGATTATCTTTCGCCAAATTTGTATATATTTAATATTTCATACTAGTTTTGATTTTGTTTTTTTAAAATAATATTTAGCCGACAATTAAATTGTTTTCGAACATTCCTGGAAAATATGAAAATGTCGTCGTCATTACCAAAAATCCTCGAGACAGGAATAAACGTTTTTATAAGTAACTCTCAGATCATAACAATTAAAAATGTTATGAAAAATCAACTATATATAAATGTGGCGAAAGATAATAGAAGACTATAGGTTGTAATATATGAATGATTTGTTTGAAATTGAATTGATATTTTTACGGTCTAAGTCGTATGTTGCAATTCTCAATTTTTATGGACGCCATGTTATTCGGTATAAGACAATTTTCTCCTTATAGACGCAACAGATAGAAGTAAGATTAGTGGCGATCAAAAGCGCTTTTTTATCGCATTAAGCCTATACACCTTTCATTTTTCGCGAACACTCCCTTTAAATACAGAAAAACTCGGAAAAATGAAGCAAGATTAAGTGATCTTAGAAAAGACAATTTTCGAAGAAAATTAATTCCTGATAGAAACATTAGTTAACAACATTCCCACCTCTCAACCCACATTTAGAACTTCTAGAATAATAATATAGGTAATAAACCTATTCCACTGAATTAAAAATATGCAAACCTGTGCTTTCTGATCTTCCCCTTCCTTGGTTTCAGCTTCAGCCCCTCCCACCTCTTCCTCTCCCTCCTTCTCCTTCTCCGCACCCTCCTTCGCTACCTCACTCTCAGCTCCTTCCTTGCTCTCTCCTTCCTTCTCATTGGATTCACCTTCCTTCTCCTTGGTTTCACCTTCCTTCTCTTCCTTCTCTACCTCCTCTTCCTCCTCTTCTGTCTCCTCCCCATCTATTAAAACAAATATAACAAACTAGCCTTATAGGGCGCTTCGCGCCCATCTTTTAAATTAATTGTGAACATGTTCTCTTTGTGTACATCGTAAAACAAAACAAAAAGAATTCGCGGATTTTCACAAAATATTTCGTGGATTTTCAAAATTTTAAAAAATTTAATGAAGGTCGAATTTTGATGGAGACAAATATTTGAAATTTTGATCATTCATAAACCTTCCGTGGTCACGTGATGTCCCACAAAAAATTTGGGCCTGATCGGTTCAGCAGTTTTGACGTTTATTGGATATAAACAAACAGACAAGACAGACAACCAAATTTATATAGATTATTAATAAAAATAATATCACACCAATTATTTTATGAAAATTGAAATATTACATGGTTGAACTGAAACCATAAAATCTATAGAAACATTTACGTTTTTAAAAATAACAGCCTGTCCTTGACATTTATTTAACAAACTACAAATCGATTTTGACAATAATTTTTTCAACCCTTTCCTTGCATAAAAATGTGCAAAAGAATTAAAAGTGAACTAAAATAAAATAGAAGAAACGGAATTAGTGGTAACAGTTAATGCAAAAGCTAATACCCTAACCACATATTATGAATTAAGAGTAGACAAAAATATGCGAGTTATTTGACACGAATACATGCATACCCCCGTTCATGAGCTCCCGCTTCTCTTTCTTCTCCTCAAGGACGGTAAAGTTCTCGTCAAGGGCCTCACCAACCTTCTTCTCTACATCTTCACGTTCCTCCTCTGGAGTACCAAGGTCATTTCGGGCAAACAGATAATTTTAACCCAACCAAGGTCATTTATGGCAAATGGATCATGTCCGAAATTTTCTCAAAACTCGGCAACTTATTTTAAATCGTTCAGTTACCTACCATACCGAAATATAATATTCAAACCTTAGCTTCATCATGGTGAACTGTATTTTTAAAATGTATATAATAATGTTTTAACTTTTGTAGAGTAGATATACCCTAATTTTGCCCTAGAGGAGAACCAAAACTCGTTTTATAGGTTGAGTCATGAGTCTAAAACTAAAGAACAAAAAGTTTTGACTTAAATTTTAAGTTCATGGTTAAATGCCACTTCTCGACTTAATTTAAACCTGAACTTAAACCGTGAGGTTAAATATTTTTGCATGTAAACCCAAAATACGGTTGTAACTCGAAATATGTTTTGTTTTCGGTTACGTAATCAGCTTGGAATGTGTTAAGTGCCAACCATGGTTACAAAAAAGGTTTTATTTTTGAAAAAATTTGTTTGAAAAATAACAGTTTGCAAAAAACACTCTTGGTTTACCTAGGCAAAATGTTAACCCAAGCAAAAGTTACAAGGCAAACTTGAACTAGGCAAAAAGTTACAAAGGCAAAATGTTACCTGGGCAAAACTGAACTAGACAAAATGTGGCTAGGCAAAAGTATCATTTTATACCAACCAGGGTCATTTAGGGCCAAAAGGTCATTTTTAAAACAACCAAGGTCATTTAGGGACAAACAGAGGTTATTTTAATACAACCTAGGCCATTTAGGGGCAAACAGATCATTTTAATCCTACAGTCATTTAGGCAGGCAATGAAGGTCATAGGGGGGCCAACAAAGGTCCATTACGGGCCTACAGAAGTCATTTAGGGGCAAACAGAACAGGGGCATACAGAGATAATTTAAACCCAACCAAGGTCATTTAAGGGCAAACAGATCATTTTAAAGTCAGGCAACCAACTGTCATTAAGGGGGCCAACAGAAGTTAAAATAAGTGTATTAGATTCTCCCCCCCCCCCGCCAGGAGGGGGGGAAGAAATCAAAACACAAAAGAGGAGGGGAAAAGGGAGGGAAAAGGGGAAGGAGAAGGGGAAAAAAGGAAAGAAAGGGGAATGGTAGCAGGAATGGGTGGGGAATGGGTAGGGAAGGGAAGATAGGGAAGAAGTGCACAGGTAGGATAGGATTTAGGTAGGGAGGGAAAGAGATAGGTAGGGAAGGGGAAGGTTGGGAAAAGGAAGGTCAGGAGGGAAAGGGGAAGATTGAGAGGGTAAGAGGAAGGGTTAGAGACTGACAAAAATAGGGATTAAGAACTCAAAGGGACACTTTCTCTGAAACCAGACAGTTTCACAAATTATTTTCAATGCTCGGCGCACAATTTAAAAAATAAAATGAAAAAATACCCCTTACGCAATTATTTTTCAAAATAGTCTTATTCAAAAAAAAAATTGAGAGGGGGAAAATATTAAAATTGGAATTATTTACACCCCTGGCAGTCACACAGGAAAATTAGGTCATTTAGAGCTCAAACAGGTCATTAAGAAAGAGGTTAATAGGGCTAAGAGAACCTACGGGCTAAGAGGTTATTAGGACAAATGTCATTGATCAAAGACAACATAAGGCAAAGAGGTTATTGTGACAAAGAGGTTACAAGGGCAAAGAGATCACAAGACAATGAGGTTATCAGGACGAGGTCATTGGGGCAAAGATAACACAAGACCAAGAGGTTATCGTGACAAAGAGGTTACTAGGGCAAAGAGAACATAAGGGCAAGGTGTCATAAAGGCAAAGAGCTCATTAGGAAAAGGCTCATTGAGAGGTTATTCAGAGCCAACAAAAACCAATTTAAGATTCCACGAGAGGTCTTATGAACAAACTAGGGAATTCAAAATCTTAATTACTAAATAGGAGAACCCCAGAACAATTACTGGAATAAAAGAGAAGTGCAGTGAAACAAAAACCAGAAAAAAATAGATTTTTTAGAGTGCACACGCTGAACTACAGAAAGTTAGAGCTACTAGACAAAACAGTGCTTTAACAAAAACATGCCACGTTAAATAATTGAACCAACCTGTCATCTTCTCAGGATCTTCAACCTGGGAGTTATCACTGTCCTCACCATCAGGAACTAAACATAAAATCAGAATTAATTTAATTTATCTTGCGTAACTGCAAGATACCAACATGAACGTTCTCAGTATAAAGCAAAAATATGAACGATTGAAAAGATTGTAGTGAGGATAATTTATATTTTCAGCCTATGGAAGGACGTCCCATCTATGATATGTTTCAACAAATAAAAAACTGCTCGAGGCCTGGTGAAATTGAGGCGAGGAACTTTCAAATAAATATATTAGAGAACAAAAAAAATAAGATAAGCTCATGGAAAAAAAAAGATTTAAAAACCGGAATCGGATCTAAAGACAATTCTTTAAGCTTCACTGATCTCTAAGAAAAGGGGAGCATTTAAAAATAATTTCTTATATTTAAACATTTTTATTATTATTATGATTTTCCCCGTACTCATGGAACCGCATATTTTTGCGAATCCGGATCCAATTCATAGCCAGTGTTGCGAATACACCGGATCTAATTCTTCCACACTATACAACTTGAAAAATGTTCCATACCTCCGTCCAACGCGTTCCCAAAAACACCGGATTCAGCTCTTGCCATCTCGAGAAGAGCTTTTCCATAATAATAATAAGCATCAGCACACTCGTAGGCAGCTTCGCCAAACTCGGCAGAGAGCAGCTCACAAGCCTAATATGTTATCAATAAAATATATTAAACTATCTTGGGAAACCAACTTTGCCTAGAGAACTCTAAATGTTAATAAAGATCAGAACAATCCAGTGGTTCTACAGAGTTCCCGATAAAATGAACGCAAATTGGTTATGCATGATCGGACATCTAACAGACAAACTAACGAGAGATTACTGCTTAATATTTGTAAGTATCAAACTATTTTATTTCATTTTTGCAAATCAACAATCTCTTTAATTCATAAAATTGACTCAGAACTAGATAATACAGTTAACTAAATCCTCCCGTAAGCCTCCAAACCAAGGGGNACAAAGTGATAAAAACGTTCCAATAATAAAATTTCACCTTTCTTCTTTACTTGGAGATGCAACACCATTTACTTTAGTGTTGGGAGAAGTGTTTTCAGTAGCAGCGATCTTGTCAGCGTTAGAAGCAGTCATGTTGAGAGGAATCTGAAATAATATAACAATTACAAAGGTCAATACATCAATAATTATGCATTAAACTTAACAGCTCTTGGAATCAGTTTAGTTTCATTCTTCATGATTACAAGTCATGGTTAATTTAGACAAACGGAATTTGGACTTTCAGAATAGCTTAAACATATAAGCATATGACGACTGATCCGCGAATTTTGTTTAGAAATGTGCAAAAAAATTTTCTTCTTTGTTTTAAAATGTAAACACAAAGAACATGTTCACTTTTTGAATAGATGAGCCTAATATTATTGTAAACACCTAGATTACAAACAGTTTATAAACTAAAAAGTTGAGTGTTGCGGCCTAAAAATTTTTGTTGTTTTCTGCGTATCAGCTGTTTTCTGCGGTAATACCGGCTTATTTCCCGCCTTTTAGAAATGACGTCATTTCCCGGGCCCCGAAATTTCTATGTAAAGAAGGATGGTGTATTTTTGGGCCTACCCCTATCCGTTATACAGCCCATCCGACCTACTAACACGTGGTTCTACAGCTACTATTGGTCCGATGCACTGTAGGTTGGATGGGCACTTTTAAAACAGCATATTGGTACATCCGACCTATATAGCTGGCAGTCTTTTGAGGGAGGGAAGGCATACCTCCCCGCACAGCTTCCGAGCCTATTTGCGGCTGCAGTGCGCATCCCTAAAGCCCTGCTAACCCGAAAACCTAAAAATACAAAAGTCTCTAAATAGGTTTACATATTTTTAGGTATTTACGTCAAGATTTGTGTGATCAACTTTTTGGTCCAGACCCAGCAAGAAAAATACAAAGAACAAAGGAGAAAAGGTGCACCATTAATCATGTCACTGAGTTCTAAACCGGAACTCCGTTTCTCAAAGAACGGAGGTTTGGCGGTATTCTGTACGGATGTGATTGAGGTGCACCGTTCAGTGCACCGAACGGAGTGATTTGCAGTGCACCGTTTCTATTCCTATNCTCTTGAAATATAACTTTTCAAAGTTTAAATTCAGTCCTCTGCCTTGAATATGTTTCAAATTTTAAATATGTTATTCATTGATTTTGCAACAAAAAAAAATATTTTAGTTTCAGGGGAGTCATGATATAATGTAACAGACAGTGTAAATTGTGCACAATCTTCTATGAATTCTTATCTTTTGTGTGTAACCAAGTTTATATTATTTAACATAATTATAATACAGATCTACCAGATCTAACCAGAAAACTTTGAAATATAAAGACAACATTGTAGGAATACTAAAGTGTATTTGATGTTGTTAGGACTGCAAATATTTAGTTTTACTGGTAACTTGTCAAATCATTTATTAAGTGAAATGGGCGCGCATGTTTACACTGAAAAAAATGCTGTGTTCCTTGGACTATTTAAAATCATAACTTGAGTCTAAAAATTATCTTCTTATTCTGAAATTTTCTGGTTATCACTGTTTTTAGTAGCCAAAACTTAATATATAATTTAGCATAATTTAAAAATTTTAATCTAACATAATGAGAATCCCATAATTTGTTCGGATTTTGATGGTTGAAGTTGTAGAATTGATGATTTTAGCTAGTCAGGTAAGTCATGAAAAATTCTCTAATAGGTTGAAACATTAAAGAGCATCTCTTGACTTAAATAACTTTGCTTGTTATGGGTCCTTTTGCAGATCTCATGCTGTATGGAAGATTAAAGTTGAACTAATTATGTGTCTCTGCATTTTAAAGGATTGATAACATAAATAATTCATGTGTGATCACATGTGTTGTCTTGTCAATGAACTTTTTTAGACTGGCTGCCCAACCAATCCCTGCTGGTCCTGTCCCCCACATTAAAACCTTTTTTCAATAAAAGGAATTCCAATGGAGCTTCTCTTGTGGAAAATTCTCCTCAAACGGAGGGAACAAGGAAAATTCTCCAAAAGAGGAGGAAATGAGGAGAACCATCCGTTTTTGGTGGAAGAAAGGAGAACTCCACTTAAGTAGTAACTGAAAAGCTCTCCTGAAGAGGACTCCACAAGAGGTGGAAATGAGGAGGATTCTCCATTTTCGGTGGATAAAAGGAGTCCTCCTCTGGAGGAGGACAAGAGGAAAGCGGAGTAGATTATCTTGATGGGGAACTTGCAAATATTTTCATATTTATCATACCAAGCAATTTTTTAAAAAGTGGTAAGGTTTTCCAGAAATTTATTTTTATGAATAATTGCGTATACTTTTTACAAAGTAATTTTTTTGAAGTTTTCGGTTTTTCTTAACATATTTTTTTAGAGCTTATAGTTTGATGTAAACCTAAAATATGTATATTTTGGAAAGTTTTTAGGTTTTTATACTATGTATCTTTACATATGTTTTCAGTTATTTCTTTACTTAAAAATTGTATTTTTTTTAGAGTTTACAAGTTTGAGGCAAACGTTACCTAAGAATATATACTCCTCCATAAATAAAAGAAAGTGTTACGCGTAATTACGAGAAATTACGCGTATAACGTAATTACGACTGGAAACCCTAGTAGTTAGGTAACCGTAAAATGGTAAATTACCAAAAGTATTTTGCAATATATTTTTCTTAGAATAGGATTTAAATTGTCGGGGCCCATTTTATATGTGAAGTCTAGAACCCAAAATAGTGAAGAAAGCATGTTGAAAAACATCCGCATAAAGGGCAGAAATTTGCTAAATTTGAATTAATAACGTTAGATTTAAATACAAACTCTTGTGAAAACGTGTCATTTTACTTAACTTTTCTAAAATTAAAATTAATCTTGAAGATTATAATTTGGTGTTGTGTTTGGGTTCTAGGCTTTAACAGAGCCGGACCACGAGTATGAGAAAGCCCGCCATTTTGCATTAAGAGACGAAATTTTTGAACAGTTTCATCGTTTGAGCGTGACTCGTGACTGATCCTAGTTGTGTCGGTTAATGTATTTTTAGATATTATTATCTTTGTGTTTCGTAGTTGTGTTTAAACATGTGTTAAACTTATTGTTTAATCTTCAATGCATTTTTAACTAAAAGTAATTTCACTAACACGTGTTAATGTATCCTGATGTAGTTTTTTTTGTTTTGTTTGTTTAGAGCACTCCAAAACGTTCTCTAGGACAGACCCAGCCTGTCCTAGCCGCAGCGCTCGGCCTGGAAAGTGTCTTAACTATTGTATAGTAGGATGTACCCTAATAATCTGTTATCCGGGTCATCAATTGTTCTTAATCTTTATTTGGTATGTCATGTTGATATGAAAGATCACAATTTTATAAATATGGGTTTATAAGTTGTATTTTTTTGTAATTTGAAAATGCGCGAAAAATTATTATGAAATCCACAAACTTTTCTTATTTGTACTGAGGCTGCAATTTAAAAACTTTGGCTCTAGTCGAAATTCCTTAAACCTGAATGCAAGGCCCAATCTTCGACCCATCTCTGACGACAGCTTGCACGTGATTTGACAGCTGCAAGATCTTCGGCCCGACTTAATGAGTTTGGCCATATGAAAATAAAACCGACCTTGGTTTACATGAATTCTCTGCACTACGCCTTGGACTTGTTAAGCTTTTTCCCGGGGCTATACAGAAAGTTTAAGAGGTGTTTGGGCACCATATTTGTTAATGATCAGTATTATTGATACTTATCGAACTTGAATGTGTCCTGATTTCTTGTAATTACTGTCATGCTGCGACTGAATGGATATTTGTTAACATATTTACTTTCTCTTAATTTGATGTTTTTATATTTTATTTTCAGAAGTACAAGATGAATCCAGAAAAGTTGAAGCAGCTTCAGGCCCAGGTTGCAAATGTAAGTTTATATTTTTGGTAGGGGATGTAAATAATGTTTAAGATTAGGTCAACTTATCATGATTGGGTCTTTTCTGAATAAATATTAACGTACAAACTTTTTTTCTCACTTTTTCAGGGGTTAAAAGAAAAATAAGGTACAGTTTAACATTATTTATTTTGCTTTAGGGCTAAAATTTATTTATTTTAAATCCCTTTAAAAACGTAGTAACCAGCGTCATATTTAAATATCTGTCAAAATTAAACATTTATTTTATCACATCTTTCCGTTGGACTAGAACTTTTGATTCTCCCTTGCACCTTTACCTTGTCAAAATATTCTGATGAACAGATCTTGGACTAGAAACATGGATCATAATCCCCTATTGCAACTATTTAGGGCAATGTCATTGTCTTAAATAGCCCAATCGGGATAGGTTTACGTATTTTGCAGTCCTATTCTTTATTATAAATATTTTTACTTCTCATGGTCGCCCAAAGGAGGAACTAAAAGATGCGATGGTTTCTCTGAAAACTAAAATTTTGCTTCGTATTTTTAGAGAAAGCTTTTGAATAATAGGTTGTATTTAACACTATTCATACTAATTGTCTTGTGCAGTTATGTTTTCTACACAATTCTAAGCAATTGTCCTGTGTAGTTTGAACGTCCTATAACTTTTACACAATTCATACTAATTGTCCTTTGCTTTTTGAACGTTCTACAACTTATACACAATTTTCAGTAACTGTCTTGTGCAGGTTGAACGTCCTATAACTTCTACACTATTCTCAGTAATTGTCCTGTGCAGTTTAAACGTTCTACAACTTATACACAATTCTCAGTAACTGTCCTGTGCAGGTTGAACGTCCTATAACTCCTACACAATTCTCAAATTCACACTTATTGTCCTGTGCAGTTTGAATGTCATAACTTCTACACAATTCATACTAATTGTCCTGAGGCCGTTTCTTCCATAAACTACATTGGTCGACAACTTGACGTCTTCTATATTGGTCGTGAAATGTACGGAGAAATAGTGTTTTGTTCAAACGCGTTCTTCCATGAGTTATCAGTGTTTGAGTATTGTCCGACCATAAACACATACATATGCGACCCCTATCGACGGAAAGAAAGGGAAAGCTTATTACTAACTTGATTTGAACGCGGCAAACTATCTTAAACTTAGGAAATTGTACTTGGAATTAATTTCAAATTCATAATGGATCTTAAAAACAAGACACTGCAATCAATTTATGAAATGAAATCAGAAAGCTACTTTGATTAGTGCTGCCACCTTTTCTCAAATAAATCATGGCCACAGTACGGCTAATGCACGGCTAATGATCCAGATACCGTATGGCGTGAGAAACTCTGTCCTTCCATGAATAACTCACGGGAGACATCTAGCGGCCAAATTATCGTCCTCCAAAGTACGTTAACTACACGTCCACTATCTATAGAAGGACCGGCCTCTGTGCTTTTCGAACGTCCTACAACTTCTACACAATTCACACGAATTGTCCTGTGCAGGGCTAACGTCCTAAAACTTCTCCACATTTCACACGAATTGTCCTGTGCAGTTTGAATGTCTTAAACCATGAAATCAAGTTATTGCCCTTAATGTATCTGAACTGAAATAATTGTTTCTTAGTCGTATTATCTTTGATCTTTCTATAATCTGATTGATTGAAATAAATTTCTTAGGTCAGAATCGGTGGAAAGGGAACAGCTCGACGAAAGAAGAAGGTTATTCACAGAACAGCTACAACAGATGATAAAAAACTACAGTCCAGTCTTAAAAAATTGTCAGGTAAGAGCTAATATAAGTTTTAGCGATGAGTTGGTTTTTTAAATATATAAACTTGAAGCAATGTTTATCAAAGAATATCTACAGAGTGCAGAATCTAGAAGTACTTAATCGGGAATATCTCTATTATTAAATTTTGGATGGCCTAATGGTGCAATTTTAATTTGGAAACTTAATTTTAACTGAAACGATGTAACGCAATTCAAAAATTTCAGTTTTTTCTCCTCGAGTATAAATGAAAGTAGCAAAAGGATGTTTATAACTTGTCGTTTTTTTCAGCAGTTAATTTTTTTAAAAAACTTTTCCCCCTCTCCAAAACATACACCCCTGACGAAATACAGAGTCACCCGTCAAAATGAAGACTTGACGAGACGACAGAACAAAATTTATACCGCCGTTTCCTGAAACTTCATGGTGCCCTGCAATTGTATACTGGTTCCAAGGATCCTTAACTAGATAATTAAATTTAGTTTAGAAGATCTATATCTACATTAACCTTGTAATCGTCAAATTTAAGAGGTTTTGATTTACAGTTTTATTCTTACCGTGTAACCCAGAACCCTGTTTGTACAGTTAACTTAAGTTGTTAGTTAATATTCCAGGAATTGAGGAAGTTAAAATGATTTATGTTAACTTAACACTTCCTAGAATTGACGAAGTTAACATGATAAAAAAAAGTCAATTATATTTTCTGAACTGAAGAATTCAACATGATTTATTATGGTCATATGTAGACTATACCTGACCCTGGAGAAAAATCATTGGTTTTCATGAACCATAACCTGAATATTAGTTAAAAATTTCCCCGGAAATGATTTATGATGTCTACTATATTCCCAGAATTGAAGAAGTTAACATGATTTATTACGATTAGCTAACACTATTCCTAACACGAAGTAAGTTAACAAGATTTGTTTATGTTTAGTTAACAATATTCCCGGAATTGAGGAAGTTAACATGATTAAGGACGACGGCACAGTAATTCACTTCAACAATCCTAAGGTAATGTCTCACAGAAACTCATATTTTTGTAATTGCTAAAAATTAGAAATTGAACGTCGAAAGGCAATTATTGACATTTTCCATAAAAATCGTTAATTTTTCAGTTTAGTCCCCGCGTAGTCTGAGCACGTTATGTTGTCAAAATGTTCAACGTGTAGCAGGCGTAAAAAGTGGTCAGAAGGTTCTGAAACGGAATTTTTTTATTTGTTTGACATTTGTGTGGTTTCTTATCTTTTGAAATATGCCCCAGGTGGCATATTTCAAGTTCAGCAGTTACTAAGTCATCGTATAATTTTACTCATTGTCGTTCAATTATTAAATATGAAAACTATTTTAATTAGGGAAAAGTTAAGGTTTTGTTCTATTTTTTTCGGATGGGAACAAAACAAATTTAGTGAAAAGTTTGTTTTTAGGTTCAGGCATCTCTTGCAGCCAACACATTCGCAGTCACAGGGCACGCAGAGAACAAACGTAAGCATTTTGATATATCGTTTTATATCGACAGTCTTATAAGTTTCTACATTTTGATCATCCTAGAAGAATTCCGTTTTTTTTTTTCTGTTGGAATAAAATTCTCATGCGTTTGATTGAACACTGAGCTTTCTACTTAAAATAGGAACTACTGATCAATATGAATGCGAGGCGTCGTTCTACTTAATTATAATTTCTGTTTGTAAATCCGATCACAACAAATGAACTCTAGACCTTTTTGCTTCAAATTTTGATAATAGACTTTCAAAGCAAAAAAAATCCCATTAATCCACAACGCATTTCAACGGCGGGAGGAACTATGAGTACCCTGCATTGAAATCCTGGATTCACAATCTTCAAGAATTAAATAGTTCATCCTCAATTACTTAAATACTAGCTATTCCTTAAAATACCTCACTATCGGGTTTCAAGGGAAAAATTTAACTTCTGAGTTAAACTGGAATCCGGAATTACTCGACTAGAAAATTAATCCCTTAATTATGGATCGAATAACTGGTTTTGGACTTGATATTTTTTAAAGAAATAACTGAGATGCTTCCTGGAATCCTGAACCAGCTTGGAGCTGATAGTTTGACCCACCTCAAGCGTCTCGCCAGCGCAGTCCCCGGCATGACCTCCGGCGGCGGAATCCCCGACGGAAACATGGCCGACGATGAAGTGCCAGACCTTGTGGAAAATTTTGACGAGGTTTCCAAGAATGAAACTGCAACGGAGACCGCTACCGAAGAAAAATCCGCAGCAGGTATTAATCTTAAATAAGACGATTCTTCTGCTGTGCATAATTCAGATTTCAATGGGATACATATTAAACAACTGGAGTCCGCCAAAAAAAAGTATAGCTTCATTTCTTCAGAAACTGATATTTCAGATTCACAATTGAATTTTATTTGTCTGAGGTATGTTTGAACAAGGATTAATTTCATTACTGTCTCTGAAAGAAGGGAAACTATGGCTAATCGTAACTTAGCTAACAGTTTTGTTTTTGTTGCTTGTTAACGTGTCTTTATAGTTTATTTTATTTAAAGAGGATAAAGATAGTTCAACCAAACTGTAGCCACGTAGTGTTGGTAAGCCAAGGAGTGATTTAGTTAAAATCCCTTAAATGAAGTGTTAATTGAAGATAGCTCTACGGCCCCTTAAATGAAGTGTTACTTGAAGACAGGTCTACGGCCCCTTAAATGAAGTGTTACTTTAATATAGGTCTACTGCCCTTAAAGCCTTTGAAACATAATTATAAGTAACCCTCAATTGATACAGTAGCATGTCCAAATTAAGAAACTTTGATCTTGGATTAAAAAGATATTCCTAGTTTTGGCATCTGAATTGACTTAAGGACTTGCATATGCAGGAGAGACAAATGATATTTTCACAATTCAAGAAATAACAAGGAAAGGCTAAATTGCTTAGACAAGTAGGTTTTAACAAAAGTTTTCTTGCAGCAAATGCTAGGTTTTTCGAATATTATGTCCGTATTTTGGCGTTAATATGATAAGGGATGCTCTATATTTCGGGTTCATTTGTCTTTAAACGTATTCCCTGTACTGAACACCGAGGTGTATGTACTCCAGTCGTTTTCTACAATATTAGTTTTGGATCTTAATATATGTACGCTCAGCGAATTAAATCTACATAGAAAATTGGACTTTCTAGCACTAAGAGAGATGTAAAGAGAGAATAATATGATGTGAAATAAATAGTTGTCGGAACTCGCAAAGATAGCCCGTGTTCATAACATATTTTCAATTTCAATATTTTTCGTCACACCGGAATATTTCCTTTAAGTTAATAATTCTTTAGCGGGAAAAGAATGAACGAAATTCCGTCCAAATTTTATTAACATTCGCTCCGTGTCGTCTTTCTAGTAAACATTTTAGTAATCGTAGTTAACAATTGCATTTTTTACTCAAGAACTCTCACGTCAGATCAATATATGAGAAGAGAACAGCTTGACGGACAATAATTAATTTTGTTGGTGAAAAATCAACATTTTTCACGATTAAATTCTAAAGCAATCTTATTTTGTCCGCACTGTTTTTTAGAAATCTGAATTGTGTCCTAAGGTTATAGATGGTCGAAGTTTTAAGATTCTTTGTTAAGAGTTCAGAAACAAGTTCCCATTTGTTTGAGGAAATTATTTCACAATCAACCCAGTTATTCAAGGGATGCATTTTTAAGGGTTTTATTCGCTTGCAAGTAGGATAGAAATTAATTCTGAATTTACCACTAGGTATCGATAAATTTGACGATGATGTCCATATTTTTGCCTCTCTTCCCCCTATCGTCTATCGGGTGACAATTCATGAATTTCCTAGTAAATACTTTCTCAACCGTTAAAATCTTTTTTCTTAAAACACAAATTAAAATCTACTACGGGAAGAACTAAAATAATTCGGAATATTTTAAATTCATCCTGCAAAATAACTATTAATGTAACGGAAGAGCAGTTATTAATATGACATTAAAACTTCAAATATCAGAGCAGAAAATTCCACAAGTTTCTTTAAGCAATTTACTGTAGCAGCTAAAAAAAATCGCGAAATTTTCGCATTTTTTCGCTTAATTCATTTTCGCGAAAAAGTTTGCAAAATGCGAACGAAAATTTTTGCCTTTTTTCGCGAAACGTTTCGTTCGCTGCAAACCGCAACTCCCATGACCCCAGAAGCTGAAGGTTTGTGGACGAACATAATTGAACGTTTTTACCTGAAAATCACCCCCCCCCACAGAAATTTTTTACCCCCTCCTAGAAAAATATCTTGATGTATATCAAATTATTGGTTTATGAAAACCCCAAATTTAAACCAAAAAATCCGCAAAAATGTTTAGTTTATTGGAGAAAGATGTAATAAAGGTAACTTGTAAAATAACAGGTAAAAGCAAACTTTTTACTAAAAAGGGTTAGCGAAGCGCTCTTAAATCCAAGTTATATAAATTGCTCCCAATTAATCTCCCAAAATCATTATCTACACCACTACACCTAATAGTAAACTAATGATGAACAACACTATAATGATGCAAATATGAGGAAGGCGGGAAGCGTTAATGATTGTTTGTTTGGTTTTATCCATAGTTATAACACCATCTTAAAATAGAGGGGGGGGGGAGCCACTTTTAATGTTTGTTTCCTTACATTCATGATTCCCTGCAATTGTAAACGTATTAATTTCTTATTCAAATCATTAGATAAACCAAGAAAAGACAATATTCAAAGCAGAAGGCTTAAATAACTTAATGATATCGTCATTTTTTAAGAATTTCACAGTCTTACTCTTTGTGGTTAAGTCTGTATTATGTTAAGACAGTATATAGTAAATACGGTTTGTTAACGATAGCATATAAAATGAACTAGCTGGGCACCAACTGCAGAGGCGTAGATAAAGATTCTGTGAGGGGGTGGGTAAATTTGTTTAATTTGGCGCGTTTCACCTCCCCTAGAAATTCCCTCCCCCACCCCCCCAAGAAAAATATCTTGATGTATATCAAATTATTGGTTTGATTTGCATTTGATTTGATTCTGGCATTAACAAACTCGTTCAAAGCTTAATTTCCTACTTTTCAGCTTTCACCTTGTTTTATATCTATCATTAAAGTCATTAATTTTACATTAACTACAAAGATCTGTAAAAAAATTGTATTTATTTTATTCTGTTATTACTGTTAAATACATATTATTAAATACATACTAACGTAACAAATAGGAAAAAGATGTTACTTTTTTAAATCTTTAGAAAAGCTACTCTGCAAAACTTTGAAAAAATGTTGTCTCTGTTATTGTAATCTTTAAAAAAAAAGAACAACATGACAATTCATGAATTTCCTAGTAAATACTTTCTCAANCTAGGGAAAAAATAAAAATCAGCAGATTGAGAGTCTATATCTGCAGGCTCAAATAAATATATAATGTGCATCCAAAGAGAATAGAGAGGAATTTACTCGACAAAAGTGTAAAACGGCCATTTTGTTGTACTGTTTCCATACTGCAGGTGTACTTCGCATATTTGTGCTCTTTCACCTTTTGGGCCCTGAACATATTTTCCCAAAAAAAAAGAGGTCTCAATAATTATTTTATTTTCTAAATCCTTTTTCTCTGACAACCTTTCATGCACACGTGGAAAGAAATCAATCTAAGTTTTTTTCATTAAACATTTCATTAAATTCTTTAAGCATATTTCTATAATTTTAGGCATTCACTTTACAAACGACGATTTTTACATTTTAATATTTAATAAAATTATGTTTTAACTTTAGCAAATTTACGCTCGTTTAAAGTTATTTAATAACTTTATAAAACAAAGAAGTTGGAATGGATATGTCCAGGGATTATGTATTAGTGTGATGTACTGCGTATAATTTGTGAACATTTACATGAATTGTACACTTTAAACTCCCATTCAGGCTGAAAGAAACTGACAAAATTCATACCGAGAGATTATTTAAATTCCACTCTAATATATTCTATTCTCTTTGTTTGCATCACCTCTTGAAATGAAACTATGAAATAAATATATGATTTTTTATAACCGCAAAAACTTCTACTTTCATGAAAAAAGTCGTCTTTACACATGTTTTTTAAAAGGTGTTAAAAGCAGACTAATCAACAGGAAATGATTTTTTTCAATGGAGCAACTTTGCGGAGTTGTAACTTTTAGGGGCAGTAAAATCCCTGCTTTTCAGGGGGTCATTACCTCCAGGATTCTAGGGGGGGGGGATCAACCCGAAGATTCTAGGGGGGGTAATTACGCCCAGGATTCTAGAGGGTAAATAACCCAATAACCCCCCTGTATGTATAAAATGCCTTATTTTTCGCATTAGCTTTATGTGAGGTAAATAGAAGGTAGTTAAAGTAGTAATAATTTAAATTTTAAAAATAAAGATGTGTATTGATTTGTATATAAATGGTAGAACTCAGGGTAGTGGCAAATTGAAAAATAAATTCTTGAATAAATGTTGATAAAAAAGGTTCAACTTGTCGGTGGTAGTGAGGGTAGTGGGGAATTGAAAAATAAATTATTGAATAAATG